CCGGGGACAGCCGGGGACAGCCGGGGACAGCCGGGGACAGCCGGGGACAGCCGGGGACAGCCGGGGACAGCCGGGCCCGCGGGGCCAGCAGCGCTGGGTGAGCCAGCACGGCCGGAGGAACGAGCGGAATATAACACTGTGTATCGCAGCACCTTTTTCAAGGTTTTTAATGGATAATATTTATTCATGAGGAAATGACTGAAAAGGTGAAAAAAAAAACAAAAAAAAAAAAAGGATTTTGTGAATTTTTGTTTTTTGTTTTTTTCCCTTCATGGAGCAGAACCTTTAAACCAACCAAAATTTCACTCGTTTTGGGTTTTTTTTTTGGTTTTTTTTTTCTTTTATAGGAAGAGATTTAGACAAAAGAAGCCACCTGTCACAGCAGTCCCCTGCATGGCTGTGTGTGTGAGAGTGTGCAGAGAGCAGCTCCAGGGCAGGGCCAGCACCCCCTGTGCACACACCCCACACACACCTCCCACCCTGGAAACATCCCCATTTAGAATATTTTGTATCCGCCTTTCAAGTCAATACAGTGCAATTGCAAACAGTGTGTTTGTCTGCTAATTATTGTCTGTGGAAACATATTTGTGGAGAAAAACAAAAACAACAACAACAAAAAAAGAAGACAGGCTTTAGTAGAGTTTTAGTCCCACCTGGGTATCTGCTTTCTATTTTTGTTATCACTTACTTGTAAGAGTGTGACTAGACTGCAGTTCTGTATTTTTAAAAAGGAAAAAAAAAAAAAGGTAGGATTCTTTTTTAATACTGTACACACAAATGGCAAAGAATGAAAGCACTGAACTCAACTGCATCAAGTGTTCATGAGTCCAACAGAGGTTCCTTGTAATGTATGCCCATGCTTTTTACCTTTTGGTTTCTCTATAGAAATTCCTTTGCTAGCACTGGACGTATAACCCACTGTAAATAGTAGCCAAATACTGTCTGGATTTATACTTGATAATTAACCCCAGAGCCAAATATCTTGCATGGACAGAGAGCTATTTGGCTTTTTCACAGTCTTAGGGCTCCAGTTGTCCCATCCACGGCTTCTGGGCTGCGTTGATTTTGGGGATAGAGCAGGTCAGCAATTTCAGTTCTCCAGGCCCAGCACAGGATCCGCTTGAGAAGGGGGAGCAGGACTGGAAATGGAAAACATTTGTAACGTGTGCTACAGACAGCATTTTCTATTCACAGTGCTACAGGTAGTTTGGGAAAAGTCTAATCATGAACTAACAGCTAACCAAAAACTGAAGAACACTGTGTGGTCCTGCCAGGTACCTCATCCTGGGACCCCTCCAGGGAGGATTCACCACAGGGAAATCCACGGACCTGAACCACAGCTCTTTCCCCTGCCAAGGGGAACTCCTTCCTGCCACTCTGCCTTCCTGGAGCCCCCTTTTCCAGGGGGATCCACCAAGGGCAGAGTGAGGAACATCCCCCACCTTCCCCTGTCTGGCTGATCCCATGCACAAACCTCGCCAAGGCCACTGCCCTGCCCGAGGGAACGGGGGAAGGTCCCGTTCCCCTCCTGAGCAGGGATTTTACCATCACAGTTAAGAGTGTTTGAGGCTGCTTCAGCAAAGGGATGATTTATTTTACCATCCATCATAACCTCTCCTGATGTAATATTTATATGCACATATACACACACATAGAACTAATTACAGACACATACATGTATAGCTAATTAATGCTGATTACACATACGAGCTGCACCCTGCTTTGGCAGCACTCCTGCTGTGAGTGATGCATTAATCAATACCCTCCTTAGAACCCTCCAACATCCCAGGACCAGCAGGCTGAGCCTCCTGTAGCTGCACCAGCTTCCAGTCATTTATTCCAGTGCTGTAATATGTTACCCAAAGCTATGTTTAGTCCTGTTTTAAAAGATTAAAACGCTCTGCCTTTTGCTGCTTCCTGTAGGAGGTTATACTGCAGTTAATCTTACCATTACTGAGGTTTTTTTCTCGATGTTTCAATTTAATTTTTGCTTTATTTTCATTAACTGTCATCACCTGAGCACCCCTGCCCTTCTAGATCAGAGGCCTTGCTCTCCCCCCCTTGCCACCCCTGCAACCTCATCTCCACTGGCACAGAGTGAGGGTGAAATTCCCCCTTGCTGACAGGGGAAAGGAATAAAAATTACAAAGAGTCAGGGATTCCACATGGATTCTTGGTGCTGCCTTTCTTACTCCTGATTTAGTGTGGAGTGCTGAACAGGGCACTTCACATCTCTGTACCTGTAAATAGCCATGGTGGCAGCCCTCTCCAAAGCACTACTGGGGCTTCAAATTGCTGTCAATCCAACCTTTTGGGAAAGAGAGCATAACATTCAATTTTTAGAGGTTAAAAAGAAGGAGGAAGGCCAGTTCCAGGAGTTTCTGTCTGGCTGCTTGGGCTCTGATTGCCATGGCCTCTGTTCTCTTCCACAAGACAGGAATTGTTTTCCTTGCTGGGGAAGCACAGTTTGTGCCTCTGCCATGGGCTGGGCAGGTGCTGCCCCAAGCTGTCAGCTCCTCAGCACAGGCTCTCAGGGGACAAAAACACACAGAATTAAGTCTGAGCCCAGAGGAAAGGGGCTAAAAGTATTTTTTATGGAGGCATTAGCCCCCTCTATCCTCTGAAGTCACCCAAGCTTCTGAAAGCACCTGGAACTGTGTTGTGGAAAACCTGGGTGCACCCAGGAGAGCACTGTGCACCCCTGGGAGCTGCAGGGACAGGGATCCATCCCTGAAGGGACAGATATCCATCCCTGCAGGGACAGAGATCCATCCCTGCAGGGACAGGGATCCATCCCTGCAGGGACAGGACAGGGATCCATCCCTGCAGGGACAGGACAGGGATCCATCCCTGCAGGGACAGGACAGGGACCCATCCTGGCAGGGCTGGCAGGGAGCAGCAGAGCATCCCTGGCATGGGGATGGGGAAGGGGCTGGAGGACACCCAGCAGAGCAGGGAGCTGCCCTGCAGCCCCTCATCCCTGACCTGAGCGGGGCAGAACGGCTTCCCCAAACTTCAGAATCCTCAAACAGCACCGAGAGCAGAGGCAGAACTTCACCTGAAGGATGTGGCTCGTGCCCCCAGTGCTCCCAGTGCTCCTCTGCCTTTCCAGCACCCTGAGCCCACACAAAACCAGCACTGGCCCAGCTCCAGGGGCTGCTCCAGCTGGGCCCCTCTGCCAGGGGCAGGGACAGGGACAGGAACAGGAACAGGGACAGGGGCAGGGACAGGGGCAGGGACAGGGGCAGGGACAGGAACAGGGACAGGGACAGGCTCTCAACAGCCCCACGAGCCCAGAACATCAGTGCTGTGCTGGCACTTCAGTTCAAAGCCTATCCCCTCCTCTCATTCCTTGTAACTTTCTATAGTTTTAGAAAAGTTCCTTTGAAAGAGATAAAAAGGGATTCTTTGTACAGAAAGCAAGTGGAAGGGCATTATTTTTTCAGATTTTCCTAAAGCAATATTAAAAATATAATTTTTCTAAGCGTTTTATTTCCTTTCCAAAGCTTTTTCTTCTGAAGGAAAAATATTTTCACTGATTTTCAGCCTATCCTATCAATAGATTTCCTCTCTTCTCACCTGGCATTGAGCTGCTAACAGGATTCACTCCCAGCTGGCAGCAAATGATGAAAAATACCTTTCCACATAGGCTTTGATTTCCATCTACTCTTTCCAAAATCCACCTTTTGCTTTCATTTTCCTTAAAATGACAACGTAAGTAACACACATGGCTTTAGTGTGGAATAAAGCTCATGGATAACTCAAAATACATCTTTCTTTAATTGGCCAGAAAGACCAAATTTAACCAATGCCACTTGTTTAACCTAAACCTGTTGCTAATACACTGTACTGCAACCCAGCATTTGTCATTCTAGTGTAGACAGCTCAAGGTGTGTGCATGAAAATCAGATTAATACCAGCTGAAGAATGCAAATTTCCTTCAAGATTCTGCTTTCTTTAAGTAAAGAGGTTGCAAACATGCTGCATCTTACATGTATTGTAAAGAAAATTTAGGAAATTAAAATTTATGTTTAATTTATGTGTTGCAACATCCCTTGGACTTTGTAATGTTTTAATTTGTTGGACTAAGGCAGTTACAAAGTCAGCACTCGTGGAGAGCTGGTGAACATCAGTAGCTTTGAACTGCAAACTTAATTCTGCTTTTAAAGCTAAGTGAATAAAACACCTTTTCCACATCACTCACCCATCCAGTCTATCTCAATGTTTTGTTTTAGAACCCTTTTCTCCAACACCTGGAGCCAACTGCAGTAGACCCATGGGTTTAGAGCCCAAGCTTTTTGTATTTGCCAAAAACACTGTCCAGGGTGATTTTCTCTTTCTAAAACTGTAAGAGCAAAGGGAAGGCAGTGAAGATCAGGAGCTGAGCATCAGCAGCATCATTCTGATTTCCTGAGCAACCACTGAGTGACCTGGAAGAAGTCACTCCACCTCTCTGCCAATCCCACAGCCTGCAGAGCAGTGAGCAGCTCCTCCTGCACTGAGTGGGCTCAATCTGTGACCCCAAAACGCCACAGGGAATTCTGAGCCAGAGCTGCTGCTTCTGTCCAGGGAGAACCTGGGCCAGAAACGCTCCAGGTGGAACAAAAGAGCCTGTGAAGGTCCCTGTCCTGCTCGCAGTCAGGTCTGTCCCTGTGTGTGTCCGTGTGTCCCTCCCCTCTGGGTTAAACCAGAGCGACCCCAGAGCTCAGCTGGGGCAGGGTCCCCCCACACCCAGCGCTGCTCCAGCACCACTGGGACCACCCCAGGCTCTGAACTGGTCTGATGGTCTGTTCCTGAGAAGCCAGGATGGCATTCCAATGCAATGGTGTTTTCTTTAGATCTGTTCTAAGAAGCTCTCAACCTTATTATTTTCTATTTTCATACTTTAAATGGGCTTTGCTTTACAAATGTCAGAGGACAGATACAAAATGTACTGGACACAACTGCAGGTAGCTTCATTTGAGAACAACTTTCTAGAAGAACCAAGTTTCCTGTTGTCTTCTTTTGGAATTGTAGTGCATATGTTGAAACTTGTATATCATTTACAGTATTGAGTCTTGTGCCACTGCTGTACCTGATGTATCCAATCCGGATTAAACAGAGTATGTGCCACAAATACCAACAGGATGCTGTAATTTCTTCTAAAAACCTTCTGGGAGGTTCTTTTGGAGAACTTTGGGTGTTGACCTAGGCCACTCCAGTTGCATTTAAATACTAATTAACTCTTCCCCAAGCAATCATTAATGAGATCAGTGAGATGTCCCAGGACAGCAATAATGCAGAAACTTCAGTGCATCTCTTGCCGTGTCCTCTCTGCCCATGGTAGGAACTGCAAAAATTCATCTTGGAAACAAAATCCTGCTGCCTTGGCCTTCTCCAGCCACAGAGACAAAGGGGAAGGCCCTCCCTGGAGTCATCTGTGACACAAAGGGAGTAAGGCAGGAACAGAGCACACAAAGAACAACTTTCAGAATTAGTGCAGAGCCAACCCAGGGTCTGCACCCTGAGCCAGCCAGCACTCCCATCTCTTCCTGCCCCAGGACAGCTCTGTACAAGCCAAACAGGAAATATCAATTAGTTTTACACTAATAGGTAATTCCATTTCTAATTAAAGCTTTCCTGTAAGTGTGGGAAGTCTGATATTGTTGCACCCAGAGGGACAGACCAATTATGGTTGCTGCACATTTTCTACATAATTAAATCCTCTACCACACAGCTTGCTGCACACCTTGCTATAGAAATGTTATTTATGCAGTGTTAATTAACTGGATTTAAATTAGCAATGCAGGCATTGAGATGCTCATTTCACTCTGCCACTTCACTGGGATATAATCAGTGCCTGGTGTTTACCAAGAGAATTAGGGAAAATGGGATGATCACCAACTTTGACCAGACCATGGAGTCCCCCAGGGAATTCAGCTTCACCCAGCAGTGACAGGGAAGGGAAGGCAGGAGGGAGGTGAGGCCCTGGCCCTGCTGGGGCTGCCCCTGGATCCCTGGCAGGGCTGGGAGAAGCCTGGGACAGTGGGAGGTGGAGCAAGGTGAACTTTAAGGTCCCTTCCCACCCAAACCATTCTGGGATTCCATGAAATGCAACTGGGATTGCTCTGTATTTTCTCCTTTCTGACATTTCTTATGTGGGAATGGCTGCCTTTTATCATCCTCTTTTTTACTGTGGATTGGAAAGATTCCAGCTGAGCATCCAGCTGCCTTTCTTTTCCTTTTATTAACAAATTGTAACAGCTTCACTGGACCTGTGTAGAACATTCACCAGACACAGATGTTTATAAAAAGACACCATTTTTCTTCATCCAAACAACGTCTGTCTCTTGTCAGCGTCCTTTAGAGCAGCACTGCTGTCACAGACCCTGTCCAGTCCTGGTCCCATCAGGACATCAGTCCCCATCTCTCAGCAGCTCCTGGAGATAGACTGAGTTGATGTGGTAGGCACTGATGGAGCTGAACTGCCAGTAGCTCCTGCTGTAGTGAGCCAGTGCTGTGTAGTAGCTCTGCCAGGCGTCGCAGTAGCACTTCCAGTAGTGCTCGTAACTCCAGCCCTCGGCCTGAGCATCATCCCAGGGGCTGCAGCTCTGCTCCTCCTCACTTCTGCTCCTGGCAGGACTGCAGAACCCGTGCTTGTGGCTTTTCTTGTGTTTAGCATTTTGTCTCAGGACTTTCTTCCTCACTTCATTTTGCCTTGGGACGTGGGATTGCTCCCGAGGCCGCTCTGGTGTAGGACAGACACCTGCAGGGCCCTGCTGAGCTGGGGACACAGCATTTGGGTCCTGGCTGTCTGAAAACGCCTCAAAGCACGAGTTGTTGGCCCTGCTATTAAAGGAATCCCTGGAGCTGGCTGAGCCATCACTGTCAGCAGACTCATCCCCGACTGCTGCTGCCTCTGGGTGATGTTCCATCTCTTCCCACTCCACGTCCCCATTTCTGGGCAGCTCACGTTGCTCTTCTGGGCCTGAGAAACTTAAAATCTCCACTTCTCTCTCTGACCCTTCTTTAATGAAATAATCATAGTCCTCAACAAAATCTGAGAAGCTCCAGGGAGTGGTGAGGTGGTTTTTGAAAGAAGACAAGCATGGAATTTTGGGAAGATTTTTTTTTAAGGCCTCCTCATCTGGAGCCTGAGCACTGTGCTGCCCATCCTTCCTGGAGATGGGTTTGACTCGATTCCTCTGTTCTGTGTGACTGCTGGAAGTTTTAGGGACTCTACTGTTTTTCTCTACATTTGCAGGATTTGTGCTCTTTTTTATCTGTTTTTGCTTCGGAGTCTTTTTTGGCCTTTCCACAGAAGAATTATCCCTTGGCAGATGAGAGGGAGGCTGAGGTATGGCTGAAAAGCCATTCTGGACAGGCTGCAGCACTGGTTGCTCTGGTTTAGGACACACAGCGTCACAATTCCCCACAGGACCTGTAGGTATTGCAGGTTTGACTTCTACCTCCCCATCTTCAAACTGCTGCATCATTCCGGGAGGGATTGGCTCTGCAAAGAGAAACAAGCAGCCCCTCAATCAAGTGCATCCTTCCCTCTGGAACTCACATGAGTACCCAAGTGAAGCTTCCCAAAATTGCCTGTTAGACATCAAGTGAGGGCCACAAATCAATCCTTTCAACTTTTGGAAGAGTTTAAAGAGCCAGAACATTTCCTTCACAGAAGGCATCAAAGGCTGCTCAAGACAAACACCACACGTCAGGAGCAGAGTGTGGAGAACATGGACTAAAAGCAGAGCAGCCCCAGCAGAGAAGGCACACATAAGCCCCCTGGGGCTGTCTGGGGCTCTGGCTAACAGGAATCCACCCAGCCCAGCTGCATCCCCAGCACAGAGCCCACCTGGCAGAGGAAGGAGCTGCAGGTTGCACTTCTGAGCGATTTTCATCATGGTGTTCTCCTCCTCGCCACGGCAGCAGTAGGTGACAGCCAGACCCAAGGTACCTGTGGGACAGAGCAGAGTCAGAGAGCCCCAGCAGAGCTGCAGGGGCAGCAGAGCTGCAGAGCTGCAGGGGCTGCAGAGCTGCAGGGCCCAGGGCTGTCCCCACCGAAGCGCCCGGCGCGGCCGATGCGGTGCATGTAGGTCTCCCAGTCCAGGGGCACGTCCAGGTTGATGACCAGGTTCACCTTCTCAGCATCAATTCCACGGGATGTCTGCAGCAAAGGAGGAGGAGAAAAGGACAGAAAGTGAGAGCTGAGTAACTCCACAGAGCTTTAAATAAATACAGAACCACAGGGAGCTGGAAGGGACCACAGTGAGGTCATGTGGGTCCCCGGTCACCCCCAGCACTCACAGCACACTGCCCACAGAGCAGCTTTTAGGTGCAGAGCAACAGATAAACTGAAAACTATTCTTGAGCCAGATCTATCTGTGATAGCCAGATCACAGAATGGGCTGGGCTGGATGGGCTCTAAAAGCACCATCTCATTCCAGCCCCTGCCACAGGCAGGCAGATGGCAGGCAGATGAGGAATGGGGGTGATTTCACAGTGAAAAGAAGTCACAGTCCACGGTGCTTTATCAGCACATTGATGCTCTCTCCAATTCCAAACCAAATCTAATCCCCTAAAGTAACTTTATGTGCAATACCCTGCATGCTGTAAAATTTGCAGGGCAGTAAATAAATTTGAAATAGAATTTGTATAAAGCTTGTTTGAAAGCACTAAAAGCTCACCAAGTCTGTGGAAATCAGAACTCTGCAGTGGAATTGCTTTAATTTGGCCATGGCATCAAGTCGCTGATTTTGATTCATGTTGCCTAGGAAGATGAAAATTAAAAGCAGGTTACATTCTTCATCTTTATACCCTCACATTCTAGAAAATGCTGCTTTTTATCATCAGAAGTAAGTTAGAAACTTCCTCAAACATCAGTTCCAAATGAGTAAAGAAAGAACAAACAAAACTGGAAAACTCAGTACAAAAACTCAGTACAAAAACAATTCCTTGTAGATTGAGTCTTAAAAGACCCATGAAGATTCAAATGCTGTGCTCAACCATTTAACCAGAGACCGTGCAGGACATGACTTAAGATATATTTTCCTATTTTAGGTCTTATTTTGCACAATTTCAGTGGAATCAGAAAACTGTGACTGGATTTACCTGCAATGCACTCGGCAGGGAAGCCTCTGGACGTCAGTATTTCAGCCAGGTGTTGAGCCCTGAGGGAACACACACACTGAAAACTGGAAATAAAACCCCAGGCCTAACAACACCTGGCCATTCTTGGGTTACTCTCAACAGCCAAGGACTGCAATCTGGTATTTTCAGTATTTCACACTGCATTCCTCAGGCTGTATTTCACACCTGAAGTTTGCAGACTGCTCTGAGACCTCACAGCTCCCATGAATTTCTCCACATGCACAGAAATTCACCTATGGTTGGACATTACCACCACTGCTTTCAAACAAGCTTTGTCCAGGTGTTGTTCCAAATGTATTACCTGCTGTGCAAATTTGAGAAGACTAAGGCCTGGTTGAAAGGAATCTTGCCAAACAACTCCTGCAGGTGCTGGGTTTTTTCCTCAAAGGTTTTATGTGGGAGGGGATGGGAATTCACAATTTTGTAGTACTGCTTCAGCCCTGAGCAGGAAAGCAAAACAACAGATTAGGAGTTGCCATAAAAACATGCACAGAGTTCTGTAAACATGTGATGCTGCAGCTGAAGGGAAACTGCAAACAAAGAACCTCCAGAAGGAGTTTTTCCTAAAAGACTGACATTTTTTGAATGGATAGAAAAAGCAGAGAGTTCCATTTGTCACAGGTATTTTAAAAATACACAATCACAGGCTGGTTTGGGTTGGAAAGGCCTTCAAGGACCTTCTCATTCCACTTCAAGATTCACTACATCAACATTGGCAATCAACATTCCTTAACTGAACAACTCAGGGGTGGAATTACAAAAACTCACTCATTCTAAAGGCACATGTTTTGGTTTTAGTGTCTTCCTCTTTAATCTACTGCTGACTGTGTCTCTCTGCTTTTATCTGTGCTTACCAAGGAGGCCTGGATCCGTGGGGTTCAGCCTCACAAACGTGGGTTCCCTCATGTACCTGGTGAGAGCAGCAGCCAAGGACTCGGGGTAGGTGGCTGAAACTGCCAACATCTGCTTATTGATGGGCAGGGAGGAGTAGATCCAGCTGAGGGACAAAAGCACAGCAGTTATGTACACAAGGGTGCCAGGTGTCACCACACAGCCTCGAGAGAAGCCTCGTGCCTCACTTGATCTGCTCCTGGAAGCTGCCCTCCTCCAGCAGCTTGTCTGCCTCGTCCAGCACGAAGAGCCGGATGCTGGCTGTGCTCAGGTAGTCCAGCTCTATCAGCTGCTTGATCCGTCCTGCAGGGAGGGAAAGCACAAACACCTTCAAAAACACGAACCCAAACGTGCCAGCCTTGAACTTGTGAAGTGTTCCCGAGCTACCTTTGGGGCTGTGCCCAGTTAATGACAACAAACACAGCCAAGGCTTCCAACAAACACACCGAGCTTCTCTCGGGTACCAAACTGGGGAGGGTCACAGCCTACCTGGGGAGCCCACAGCTATGTGACACTTCTTCAGCCTGCTTCTGTCCTGGCCCAGAGGAGTCCCTCCAATGAACACATGGCACTCCAAGCCTTCCATTTTTATCCCAATCGTTGTGATCACGGCGTGGATCTGCACTGCGATCTCCCTCGTGGGAGCCAGGATCAGGATCTGTGCAAGGATTAAACGGGAGGCTCAGAGCCGCAGGATGGCGCTGAGAGCCGAGCCCCAGGGCCGCGGTGATTTAAAACTCGGTGCCTCACGGCTCTCCACGCCACATCCCCAAAGCAGCGGCTCTGGCCCGGGGCGCCTCACCTGCGTGGCGGGGCTCTCCAGCAGCACGGCGTCCAGGGCGATGGTGGCGAACACGCAGGTCTTGCCGGTGCCAGACTTGGCCTGCACGATGAGATCTGCAAAGAGAGGCCACCCCAAAGGGGGTGAGGGCCG